TTTTGGTTGCAGCCATCATTGTTGTTTGGTGGGTCCGGGCTGGGGATTCAAACCCGCCACCTTAGGTGTATGTGGCTGGCGCCTTAGCCGGTTGAGCCATACGTGCCGAGCCGACTGGCATGTCCTTTTATGATGTGCTAATTCACAACTCCAGTCTTTCCCTCAGTTTTCTGTTGAGTTCCCTATGCTCTTCCTTCTATGCCTCATGAAACCTTTTTATCCTCACAGCTAGAAAAGAAGTTCTTAATAAATGGTCCAAACAGCACAGAGGAGGGCAGAAGCCAAGGCTAAAATTCTCTTGTTTGTAATACTCGTAGTACTAAAGGGAGCTGTCCACAGAGCAGGGCTTAACAAATGCATGTGGATTACTACAGATCCATAATCCCTTACTTGCAATTCCAAAAAGTTCTGAAAACCAAAAGGAATTTTCCATGTTTGGTACAAAATTCATTTTCTCTTTTGGAGACAGGGTCTTTTTCTGTTGCCTGGGCTAGATTGCAATGGATACTTCACTGTAAGCTCAAACTTCTAGGCTCAAGCAAACTTCCTGCTCAGCCTCCCAAGGAGCTGGGACCACAGGCATGTGCCATCCAAAACAGCCAATTTTTCTATTTTTTTTTTTTTTTTTTGCAGAGACAGAGGTCTCACTCTATTACTTGGGCTGGTCTCAAACTCCTAGCCTCAAGCAATCCTTCTGCCTTGGCCTCACAAAGTGCTAGGATTACAGGCAAGAGCCATCAAGCCCACCAATTGAATGAATTCATTTGGAAGCAAAACCTGGACATTAAGCTACTTGTAGTTTTTATTACTGTATTTCCTGTAGACCATGATTGCATTATTGTACACAGCACTAATTAAAATATATATATATATTTCCCTGCAGAAATATTAATGTGCTTGACTATGGATGTTGCTATAGACCCTCCTGAGGGATAATACAACATGCAATGTATCTATGCCCTAGAATAGTTTTCTAAAATCTAGAAAAAAAAATTTTTTTTTTGAGATAGAGTTTCACTACGCCTCCCTCGGTAGAGGGTTGTGGCATCACAGCTCACAGCAACCTCCCAACTCCTGGGCTTAAGCAATTCTCTTGCCTCAGCCTCCCAAGTGGCTGGGACTACAGGCACCTGCTACAACGCCCAGTTATTTTTTAGAGGTAGTTATCATTATTGTTTGGCAGGCCGGGGCTAGATTCAAACCCACCAGCTCCAGTGTATTAGGATGGAGCCTTAGGCGCTGAGCACAGGTGCCAAGCCAAATCTAGAAATTTCTTAATTCCTGAACACATCTGGCTATTATCAATGTACTGAATACAGGATTTCAAGACCTACTAATTATCGAATTTTTATAGTGTTTCCAACACATATTGTGAGTGAAAAAATTTTTGTAAAATAATTTGCAGAAAGGGCGGGTGTGGTGGTTCACACCCATAATCTCAGTACTCCGGAGGCCGAGGCAGGTGGATTGCCTGAGCTCATGAGTTCAAGACCAGCCTGAGGCAGAGCGAGACCTTGTCTCTAAAAATAGCTGGGCGTTATGGTGGGCACCT